TTCATTACGTTTCGGCGAGACCATCATCAGATTTAAAATTTACACAAACTCATGATTGGTAAAAATCAACGTTCTTTTAGGTCTTTGCCTTCTTGAAACCTTAAATTTTTCTTTCGACAGACAAATTTACGGTTTCAAGAAGGCAAAGACCTAAAAGAACGTTGATTTTTACCAATCATGAGTTTGTGTAAATTTTAAATCTGATGATGGCGCTGTTGTCTCGCCGAAACCTGCTGAAGTAAACGATGTTTCAAAATATTTACTTCGCACTTTGATCGAGACCCAGAAAAGATAACAATACCATAACAAGTACACGCAGTCAGGAAAATAAATCAGAGTAAAGTATTTGTTAAGAAAAACCTGATCGAGTGAAAAAATCAACAATATCTTGTTGCTGAAGATTTTGGGACAATTTCCAGATACTTTTAACACTGAATAACTGAAAGTTATGAGGCAGCAAATACGTGTGCCTACGCGAAATTATAAACTTTGGAGAAAACATCGAAACTCCCCCAAAATCTCAACTCCTTTAAGCAAAATGTCAACTGATCTGCATAATCTATTCCAAGACGCTGATATAATTTTCTTGATAATTTGCCAAAGGAAGTCACACCGCTTTGACTGGGAAAGTTTGCGTTCCTATGAATTCCCTACACCTGTTTAGGGTTGGCAAACTTCCGAATAAATTTAAATATTTGCGGTCTTTTTGCAGGACGTAGTCGAGATGGTCCACAATTTTCGAGGGTATGACGCACACGGCAAATTGCCCGCATTATTTTCCTCTCGCGAAAATGAACACTGCATTGAAAGTAAAATAAAAGGAAATCCTGCTGGTAGATTTATCATGCAGTGAGTGGGCGCTCAAAGGCAACTGATTCTTAAATAAGGAGATGGAGCAGGAAATCCTGGCGTATAATTGATGATGAGGATTTTCAGACTTCGGGCTTTTTGTGTCGGTAATAAATTGTTGTATCGGAATGCAATGCGCTGCCCCTGCTGGTAACTGTGGATGGAACAAGGAAGACCAGGCCAGTAATCTTCAGCAGGAGCTATTCTTGCTCCATCTGGGCCTGCCGGCTATTTGTTCTCTGCCATCTTCCTCCACTTAAAATGCGCCGCTACATGTCTGAATCGTTAATCTCGAGCTCTGGCTATTTACCGTGTCTTATGGGGCTCCTCCATACAGATTCTTAAATGAGTTTGTATTCCATGTTGGACCTGATCCAACTTGCATTACTGCTGATCGATTCCGGCGCAATTTATTGGATTTCTTTGTGATATATTTGGGGTTCGCATGCGACCTACTGAAATTGCTTGATCAGAGGCGGATGGCATTTTCCCGGAGTTTTTGGCAGAGTACTAAATATTCTTGATTGGCCAACTTTTAGTGTGTTTGAGCCCAAGGGCTTTAGCTGTTTTCGTTTTGATTCCTCAAAAATAACTGCGAAAGAAGTGATTAGTTGGTCACAGTTGATCCAGTTTTCTCTAGGAGAAAGCTGATGCAATTTGGACTGGAATCGATAAAATCCCCAAGTGCTCCGGCTTCTCTTTGTGTTATTAAGTAATCGCAGAAAATTGCACTGGCTCGAGCCTGGCTCTCACTTACATTTAATAAGCGCGCAAAGATCAGCGATGGTCTTTCGATATTTGATTAGCAAATTGACTTCGTGCCTACATTTCCAGATTTATCGTGAGTCTACAGGTAACACTTTCCGTCTGAACAATAAACCGAGATTCGGCTACTTTCGGTCCTTTATTGCACCCCAAACTGGCATAGTTGTGTTTGCCAATTTGTTTGTAGTCATCTTTTGCCAGCTTGAAATGCACCGTCGTGCCCCAGTCGTTAATCTAAAACTCCGGCTATTTCGGCGGCGGCATCTAATTTCGCTACCGGATAGTTAAACGAGTTTGAATAAATAACTTGGAACTGATCCAGAAGTTCGGTCGATCTGATCGATACTGCCTGAACTTCCACATACGAGTTTGCACATTAACTATGCGAACCCAATATAAATTTCCGGCACAACGGAAAATGTGGAAAAACGTATTGAACGGTCTATAAAAAATTCGAACTTCCAAACTCAAGCGAGTAGAAACCTGAAAGGTTGAGACTCTGTAGGAGACACTTTAGTCTTCAAACCTGCAAAAACTCATTGAAATCGACGGAAATCCTGAGTTTTGCGAGCTTTGTAAAAGTTGATCTGAAATTTCACTTGATGGCTTCGCGCAACTGCAGGATCCCAAATTAAAAATTTCAACTTGAATCTTCAAACCTTCAAATCCTTTCAGACCATTCATACTTTGTCCTTAAATCTTCAGGATTCACGACAAGAAGCAGTTTTTTCAAACACCTCCAAAACAAGATTTTGCGCATTTTTACCCAGTTATACGCTATCTATAGCTAAGGCTTTTTTGCGTCAACACTAAACGTTTTGGGCTAAAGCCCTTTTAGAGTCGGAATCTATTCACTTAATCTCTGGTTGAATCCCGGACGCATTTATCATAAAGGTAGCGAAAAAACATCGACCACAATAGACTAAGTCCTTTCGTGCTAGATATTTATGTTTCTTTGTTCGATATACAACCCGGAGCGAACTGGGGATGCAAAAGCAAAGTTATCGGACGTCCACAGGGCCTAAAATATACGCGTATTCCGGTACCTTAGCTTAAGGTGCAAGTGGTATAATAAACTGGGATTTTATGTACGGTTTGGTGACCAGTTTTGGAACGCTCTATTTATGCAGGTTTCCCTTTGCATTAGACTAAGGCCAAATTTATGATCGAGGGCCTTAACTTGGGCAAATTTACCTTTGCAAGCGGACCTGCATTCCATTTGAGTATATTTCCTGTAGCAAAATATGCACTTATTGCAGAACTAATCCGTTTAAAATGCGCTTTCCATCTGCCGAATCTTATGATTGATTTCTCGGCATGGAAACAAGGCGAGCACGAGCCTTGGGAGCTTCAATCCAATAAATTTACTCAATTTGGCCGGGAATTGCTCCAGTTTTTTTACTCAATTTCTTTTTCTATACTTAGTCATTACCCGGTCCGGACTTGGCTCTATTTTAGCTGCTAGGTGCACTTAACTGAGAGGAAAGAGGTTTTGCCAGCTTAAGAATGTTGAAATATTCCAAAAGCAATCGGTCCGATTGGTTGATTGGTTATGGTAATTTTGCTTTAATTTAACTCTTTTTAGCCTGCTGATTTTCTCTGCGATGTTATTCGAAAAAAAGGAAATCTGAGGTATTTGCTTATTCTGTGTTCCGATTTTCAAATTTTTTCCTGTGCTTTGCTTGATTTTCCAAAGCCATACTTTATACATTGATTTATGCCCAACTGCATCTGTTTTGTATAGGTTTTTCGAGTCGGACTTTTTTTAAGTCGGATTTTTTAAAATATTTTTGTCTTGTGTGCGTTGCGGTTGAAACATTAAGAAAATAACCTCTTGTTTGTTGCCTTGTTCTGACTTGTTCTTGTCTTGTGTGATTGGTCGTTTTACGCTCAACTTGACCATCAGCAACAAAAAATGGATAATAAAGACAAAATGAATGGAAAAATAATTCTAATAATCTAATCTTTAAGCAGTTTGTCAACTGATAACCGAGAGTGAAATTGAGAAAAATGCAAAAACTTTGGATGAGAATAACTATAAATTTGATGCATGAAACAGACCAAACTACAACGTAAAATCCGTAAAAGGTTAGCTGAATTATGGTGTTTCAGGTTCTTTTGTGTGTTGTTTGCGTCTTTTGGGGGTGTTTTCTTTCCAATGCATCGTGAAATCTGTTTATTTTCCCAACCCAACCACACTTGGATATTGAACTCGACGGAACCTAAAGATGCACTGAAGGCCTGAGCCCAAAAG